CATGTCCTGTTAAGATTTTAATGGTTGGAATGTGTTTAGAAGGAGCAGAACTGATGAGCTGTCCAGAAAAAGCTCTTCAAGGAAGGTTTTTACAAAATTGTCCTATTTTCAGTGCAACTTTAGTCCTCTGTTAGGATTAGGGACCCACACCAGGGTAGGGTTTGGGTTAGAAAAACGAGGTGTCCTGGTAAGAGTTTGTTGGTTGGAATGTGTTTAGAATGTACAGAAATGATGAGCTGTGCAGAAAATCTCCTGACGGAAGGCTTTTCAAAATTGCCCTATTTTCAATGGAACTCTAGCCCTATGTCAGGGTTAGGGGTGTGCACCAGGTAGGGTTAGAGCAGTGGTGGTGAACATATGGCACGCATGCCACAGCGGGCATGTGATCCCTTTTTGTCAGCACCCAAGCCAGGTCAGTGCAGCATCACCCCAGCAGCCGAGCATTGGATAACAGTGCGTATGGGGGCAAGTGCATCCTTGGAAAGGATTGGCAGTGCGAGGGACTGGCTGTGAGTTGTTTTTTCTAAACTAAAACCTTAGTTTTCAGGTTTTATTGTAGTGTTGGTACTTTGCGATAAATAAGTGGGTTTTGAGTTGTAGTGTGGGCACTCGGTCTCTAAAGGGTTTGCCGTCACTGCCCTATTTCCTAGGCATGAAACAGACAGAAAGACTGTAGGGGCAGCAGTGGTTGCATTTGAAACATTGTGTTTGGGGAGAATACCATGGATGAATATATGGGACTATACTAATACTTGAAATATTAATAAGTACTAATACCACTATACTAACAGTCCAGTTTAGTTCAATATACTGGAGGAATGAACAAGTGGGTCCAATATCAAATCCATCCAGAACTTGTCCTGGAAGCAAAAATGACAACTGAAGCATCCGTCTTTCAGGCACAGCATGAGAAAGCAAGATGCACTGGAGAAGACTGTCATACTAGGAAAAGTCAAAGGTAGAAGGAGAAAAGGAAGACCAGGTATGAGGTGGTTCAGTTCCATAAAGGAAGGCACAGCCTTGAGTCTGCTCAAGTCTGCAAGAGTTGAGCAGGCCTGGCTGTGAAGGGCAGGACATTCTGAAGGGCATTCATTCACAGAGTTGCCATAAATCTGAGACAACTTGATGGCACTTGACAACAACAGAATAGTTGCACTGGAGCAGTTCCCATGCTCCAAGGGCAATCCCAAGGCAAATGTGGTATGCGCATGGGACAGGAGGGGGATGCTTATTCTGCCAGGGATACTTTGCTTGTGCACTTAAGCACAAGATATAGGGCTGCAAGTCCTTGTTTACAGCATTTTGTCTGAATAAGGGGAACCAGTTTAATAGGGTTAAATAGAGTTAGCCTAAGGTTGTAGATCTTGGAAGAAGCTGAGCTGCTTGTTTACTTCTTGCTTATGAATGAGAAATAGTTGACAGGAGGAGAATGTTATGGCAAGGTGTCATGAGATGGCAGAAAGAATGCTCAACATGATTATTATCAAGATCTCAAGTAAAGCCAGGTGATATGTTGCAATACTTGCAGCAGATGGACTTTATAATAAAGCTTTCTGAAGCTTGCCTTATAGAGTAGATGATAAAGAAGCTTATTATGGGTAAAGTGGCAAATGCAGAAAGAAGCATGGAATATAAGCCTCTCTGGGTTTCCCAAGCAAGAAATACATATAAGAAAAAGTGTATCAGAAAGAGAGTGAAATTCACTAGCATGGAAGGTCTTTCCCTCTGCATGTGATGGCAGCAAAAATGCCCTGAGCAGGACATTGCAATATGCCATGTTCAGCATTGGACAACCAGGCGATTTCTGTCCTTGAATTAGATCTTGATGATGATGACTTCTACGACCTGTTAAAATATTTGTGAGAAAACCTTGTATTCCAGCTTTGTGAAATTGTACTTGTCAAATTGTTTTATCACTTTTGCTTCACATTGGATATTACAGCTCTTTGGGGTTGTGTTATGTATGGGAAAGTTCTTCATGAGTAACAATTTTACTAGAGTCATAAACTATTGGATAGAGACTACCTCATTTATACAATGCATATGGGAAGATGTAAGGAAGTTGTAAAGCCAACTTTAAAAAGGGGATTAGACAAATTCATGGAGGTTAAGGTTCTCAGTGGCCTTAGTCATGAAGGCTACATTTTACGTTCGGCACTGAAGGAAGTATGCCTATGGGTACCAGTTACTTGGATACATAAGGGTGCTGTTGGGAAGGTGCTGTTATACTCGTACTCCTGCCCTACTTAGAGATTTCCCAGAGGCAGCTGCTTGGCCACTGTAGGAAGAGAATGCTGGTCTAGAAAGGCCTCAATCAGCTCAGCACAGCTCTCCCTAAATAGGTAGTTAATAGAAATTGGAAAATACCATCTCATATGGCCTTCTGGAGCCTGGTGCCCTCCAGATGTTTTAGATTAGAAATCCCAGGATTCCTGACCATTGGTCATGCTGGCTAGAGCTGATCAAACTGAAGTCCAGGATATCTGGAAGGCACCAGTTTGGAGGCCGTGTAATGCTGTGATTTGTTCTTTTACTGTATCTTCCACATGTCCACCATCCATCAGGTAATACTACCCAGTGTGAATTCTATCCACTCTTTTGAACCAGAAGGTCTACTGTGTTTTCCTTTACTGGAAGAAATTTTAGTGCTTTTGATTAGCTATTAGTTATAATCCAATCAGCTAAAGGATCATGTGTCAAACTATAAAGCATCTTCATTCTGGAAAAGTTAGTTGTACTTAATGACTAATTGCATTAAGTAATAGTTATATTTAATTGGGCCAGTGAATTGTGTGACTACTGAATGCTCCATTAATTTCAACTTTAGTGGATAACTTTCTTTGACTATAAGCCATAATCAAGGAATCATAATCAGTGTAACAACAGACTTAAGCCACACAGTCTACTGATTGGAAGACTGGGTTCACATTGAATTTAATATTTGTCCTTGACATTGACTTAGCATTCAGCTTGCCTACACAAAATGTTATTTCATTTTGTTAGTCTAAAATAATTGTTCAAACATCAACTGAGGTGGTAGTCTGGTTTGACCTCTTTAGGTATTCATTCAAAGCAGCTGTTCCAAGTTTATGAGAGTTTGTTTTCCTGCCTGAACTTGCCCTGTGACTATATTTCTAAGAAGGCTGATAAAAATAAAGTCTCACACAAAGGTGGCAGATTTTCAAAAAGATCTGTTTTTGTATGGCAGGTAGAAAAGCAGTGCTCTAACATCATTCCATAAATCTGAGTCATTATATTATTCTAACTGGAGATGTGACTATTGCAATGTTTCAAGAAGATAAAAAGTGCTGGTTTAAAACTGGCTGATCAATAACTAGTTGAAAAACAGAAAGCAGAGAGTAGGAATAAATTGTAACTTCTTCCAGGGGAATGAAGTCCCATGTGAGGACTTGCACTGGGACCAGTTTTTTTTTAAAGTTGTACGTAAACAGTCTGGAATTGGAAATGAGCAGTGAGGTGCAAGTTGAGAAATCAGATTATTTAAAGTGGTTAAAACAAAAATCGATTGGGGAGAACTCCAAGAAGATATCTCCAAATTTGGAAAATGTGCATTAAAATGGCACATACAGTTCAGTGCAAGGAAATTAAAGTGATGCAGGTAAAAAATACCAATTTCCTGTATGTACTGATGGGATCTGAGCTGGTAGTGACTGACCAAGAAAGAGATCTTGGTCATGGTGTTCAGACTGAATGAAATGTCAACTCATTATGTAGTTATGTGAGAAAGGCAGATTCCATGCTAAGCATAATGAAAAAAGGAATTTAAATGTGCCATCTCTAAGGCAATGGAGATGGAACAGTTTTGCAGTAACAAGAGAGTACTGAGCTATGAAATTATTAAAGCTGATGAATTTGTAAGAATGGAGACATGATACATTTTCAGGTAGAATTTTTTTGAAGTCCAGGTTTCAAAGAGTTGAATTCAGAGATTTGGAATTTCTTCTGATAGAAGAAAGCTCCCAAAGCTTTGTATTTCCCAACAGGAAGAGTCTTTTCCCAAAATTCTGTTGAGAATTCCTTCTGGCAGAAGAAGGAAATCTTTGGATGTAACCCATTATACGAGGTTGGATCCAGATTCAGCCTTACTGAGGGTAGACTAACTGAAATCAATGAGATTTAAATAAAGACTGAAGTCTCAATGAATTCAGTGGTGCTACTCTAAGTGTAACTACATCTGGTTTCAATCTACTGTTTCCAATAATATTCTGACATAGAAATATGCAATGGATATGTAACAAGCAATAAAGATTTACTTTACTGAAAAATAAAATTTAAAAAAGCTGTATCACAGGTATGAACCAGCTTATCAAAATGGGTATGTGTAAAGGAAATATCCAGCCACTTTGTCAGGTCAAGAAGCTCCAAACTTCTTCACCCTTAAGAAGTCAAAGGGCATCATCCACACACAAGTACGTATTAGCAGGTTTGAGAAATTCCAAGGTGTGCAGAAGAAGAAAAAATGAGAAAAAAGAAACCACAAAGAGGGGAAACAATTTCAAAATAAATGCATCACAGATTGAACATATTCAGTGGATATGAAGTACTGCGTTTATGGGGGCAGGGGTGACATGAAAACACAGGCAAGGGGAATGGAATGGAGTATCCTGCAAGAGGACATGGCTGGCTCTACTCTCTGTTGAAGCAGGAACACTCTCTTTTGTTGCATGTCCCATTTGTCATTTATCAAACCTCCTTTTGAAGTGCAATGTAGTACTGAACTCCTTTGGGTTGTATTTGCTAGAGCGCTTGCTAACGTCCGTGTTTGTGCACAGCGAAAAGTACTTGCAAGAGTGACCCCTGGACTGCGATGCATCTCCTGCAAGAAAGTGATACCCATCTGCATTTATCATGTTAATTTATAGCTAAGCCTAGTTTGAGATGAGTGAATGAGGGTAAAGACCAGCTTGAAAAACCTTACCAAGTAATTATTATATCCTGACGGTAAATTATTCATGTCACAACTTGATGATTCAGAGGTTAAAATAATTTTATTCTTGGAATAAACAAGACTGCCTAGTAAGTGGAAAACTCACTAGTATTCTATCAGTTTGTAAAGAATGCTGATAACATTAAGAAAGCACTGACAAACATATATAACCAGAGGGCATCTGATTTAAATATAGAGATACTTTACAGTTGACAGTCATCCAACAGTTTGTACACTTCAGTCATATTATATAATCGGTAATAAAAGTCTTCATTAGGGAATATAAAACAAGATTGATTCTGTGCATTTATCTCTAGCTACAGGAGAAAATTCCATGTGCAAATATATACTGCATCTAAAAAAAAATGCTGAAATCAATTTGAGAGGCAGAGAGAAATGGGTGCTGGATTTATTTGTCCTTTCTTGCTAACAGAGTCACCTGGATCCATTTACTTCCAGGTAAATGTGTATAGAACCACAATCTAAAAATTTGACTGGTAGAATTTTTAGGTTTAAAAATTTAAAAATGCACTTGGTTGTTCCATGTCTGGTTGCACGTGAAGGCTACAAGATAAATATTTAATTGTACAATATTTTATTTCAGTATTGGCATGAATTGCCTTGGCCAAATGTTGCACAGTGTATTACATCAGCCATTAAAACATGGGATATTAGTAATATTTCAATACTGCATATTGAAATTTCAAACAGAGGAAGAAAGATCTGTCCAAACCTGTGTTAGGCATCTCAAACAAGGAGGCTACGCAAGTTTTACAGTATGGCTGAAAAGCCTGATGCTTCAAATTTAGATGGTAGGTAAATGAATACTATCTCCATCATCTATGAGAATCAGCCAGTATTATGATCACCTAGAGTACATATCTGTTTGTCTTTAAAAACATTCAACCATTTATTGTGGTTCTTCTTTCAAACTTCATGTCCTGATCCTTTTGAGAGGCACTTTATGGCCTTCAGCACAAAATCCATTTTCATGTTTAAAGGCACTTCCATTGAGATGGTTGATGCTTTCGCTGATGCTTTCCAGTTGTGTGGTCCCATCAGTAGGTCCCTAAAATAAAGGGAGTCATTTGAGTGAATAAGCGAAGACTGATATTGGTCTGTATTTGGAGTCCTGGTAAGTATGAGGACCACGTCTCACTCCTGTGGACTTTAGGAAGGGATACTCATAGAATTCTCTGTGGTCTGAACTGGACCAGGAGCAGGGCACATTTGGAAATTTGAGAGAGTGTTGTGGGCACAGCCACAAAATGGCTGACAGTGGTGAGTATGGCTAGTTACAAAAGAAAAGTAACCTGCCTGGATGCAAACATGGGAAATTAAATTGAGTCAGATACAGCCTTCCACTTCACTTTGAAGCAATCCCAGCTGCTACCAATCAAAATATTTTTATTTTTAAATAAAATGGGAAGGAATAGGGTGTCTCAGTAGGCATCAAGAAAAGTATCTGGAGATGCTGCAGGCAGCCCATTTCCTACCCAATCACAGGTGAATGTGTGGACCAGAAGTTCCTCTTTCAATTTTTGCACATTTCTAAATTTTGATATGCAGTTCCTGGCTTTTAAAAAGCACATGAAATGTATTTACAATACATATATCAAGGGAGAAATGTTTAGAAATGTCTGTTAGGATTTTAAAATGTGTTGATTTATACACTTATGAGTTGCCTTTCAGCACTGGGCAACATTTAGCATTTTGAAAACAAAATATTTACATTCATGTAAAGCATCATCCACAACAGAGCTAAGAGCAGGAAAGAATCTGCACAATGTAACAGCTATGTGAAACAAAAAATAAAATACCTACCATTTTAATAAAGAAATGGGAGGGAACAGATTATGAATAAATAATAATGAATGAAAAAGTAACACCTATAGATTTAGAATGATCCATCTATTCCCATGATCTCAGTATCATTATTGTCAGTCACTATCATCATTATTATCTGTATCTTATGAAGTAACAGCTGCAAAAGACAGATACTTCCCAGCTAAATTTAGACATCAGAAGTAGGAGAATACAAGACAACAGGGAAGAAAACATGTAAGAGAGAAGTATAAGAAAACACAGAGAGGGGAACTATGCAAAAATTAAGGATAATAAGGGAAAGGTGTGAGCAAACAGCAAACATTTAATCACTTAGAATAAATGTCCCAGGATTAAGGATTAGAGAAGAAAGAAAGGAATACAAAGAGCCTTAATTCATTACATAGAAGACAAAGATTCAAAAATTAGATCTGTTTGAATTTCATGGAGCCTTTGTAGCTTATATTCTACAAGAATATCCTATATTCTTCAATGATTGCACTCATTGAAGCAGTGTGACATCAGTTTGTTCCCTATTTTCCAAACGTACCTTTCTTTTACACTGTATGCTTGTAGATAGTCCATTTCTAGTTGGGGTTACACTTACTTCTTCTAAATCTAAGACAAGAGAGGGGAAAATGTTTTCCTTTGTTAGGTGTATGTTTTTGAGAAAGTGTATAGAAATGATGACATGATTTTAAATAATAGAGTCACCAAGTTGTGAAGAACATCAGCCATCATCCAATGCATGGGTGAATGCTACAGTATTGGAAATAGTGGCCATACAGCCTTCACTTAAACATCTCTATCAACAGAGAATTCACTACCTATTTTCAATTTTCATCAGGATATCCTTCCAAATATTTAGTTATAAAACAACAACAACCACGACAAAACCCTCTCTTGTATGTTGAACCTGTTGGTCCAGGTCCCACCCTTTGGAGCAGCATCAAGCACACTTGCCCAAAACGTGTGACTTGTTTTTCATATCTCTTCTTAAAATTTTCCTTTCCAGGATAAACATTCCCAACTCCTAGGCAACATCTTTGTAAACAGCAATTAACCAGAGTTTCCTGTAGAGCTCACCTGGGAAGTACTGGATCAAACCATGGTTTATATAGCCTAACTTTTCATCTTCAACAATTATCAGCATGATGCCTCTGGAAAACTCACAAACTGACCCACTCTTGTTTTGTTTCCTGGCAGATAAAGTGGCCAAATCTTCCCTGAAGACAGGGGATTATATCTTTGCAAAGTGCCAGGAAGCTGAGTAAGCATACATTCACTAAATCCTTCTACAGTTCTCCTCTTGTTCTCTTAACATCCCAAGCCCCTGCCTTTCTTACTGTGGAACAAACTCAGATACCAGCTTTGTAAATCAACAGGTAAGCATGGCCTACAGTTCAGCAAGAATGCTCACCTGTAAGGAGCTCATCCAGTTGATCAACTACGAACTTTGCATCTTCCATACTGAAGCACATGGGGGGCTTAAATTTCAGTATGTTTCTATATGGTCCATCTGCACTCAGAAGTATCCTCCGTTCTTTCAGTCTGGTTAGAAGGAAACATACTTACTTTTAAGGACAAAAAGTGAAATGAAGGCACATTACAACATATTCCTTTAAAGCTATATCTTGTGTCAGGGATGAACTGAAGGTCTCAGCTCTCAGTTCTGAGGGACTCCTAATTTATTTTCACTGAATGTTCAGCATTGTTTTGGGCTGATATGTGAGGAGTTAGGATAATACAGCAGTGCTGAATTACACCAGAAAAATTATCCAAATTAGGATTAATCCCAGCCAATCCTCCGGGCTTTCGGATATATGGTCCTCCCAGGAAGATAGGCAGAAAAGTTCTGCAACTTCCACAGGCTTTTCATATAAGCTGCAATGACTTTGCAGATGGGGGTACTTACTTTCTGAGGGGGATACTTACTTTTGTAGAAAGGTGGGGAAAGAGAGCTGCACCCCTGATCCAAGGAGGCAGCCATATATTTTTTTTCTTGACCATGTTGCTGGGACCTACACTATGTCATCATGTCATAATGATCCTATTGCCATTCTTAAAAGTGATTATTTACAATTAGGCTTATGAGTGCCGTAGCCTGTTCATCTTTCGGGACTAAAAATGATGGAGACCACTGAGCCACCTGGCTAAAAAGTGAGTCTTCCCACCAGAAAAAATCCTCTGCTCCCACTGACTAGTTCACCCCCTCCCAACCTTTGAGAAGGTTCTCCCCCAGCCCATCTGCTGGAACATTTGGATCAGCAATTATGCAAACAGGCAATCATGCAAACAAATGTGCAGCTGCCTCTGGTACACGAGACAAAAGGACCATGTAGTCCAGCATTCTCTGTCCAATAGTTAGGGTCAGCTAAAGACATTTTTCTGCCTGGGACAGAAGAACAAATGGAGCCCCTCAAGTCAAGGTGCCTGATATACAAGGCTGGCCATGGAAAAGCCTCCCACAAATGTCTCTCCTTAGGAGGAGAAATGCAATAATCATAATAAACAATAATTTTGCTGCCCTTTTGAGGCACCTGAAATCAGATGCCTGAGTCAGCCGTATCACTCTGCCTAGTAGTAGAACTGACCCTAGTTCAAGGACTGCTAGACAAAATTAATTAGATATGGATGTCTTAAATGACTCAGTGCAGCTTGATTATGAACTTGAGATCTTTCTACTTAGATATGTCCAAGTTTGTCTAGATTAGGAAATCTTGCAAAGCCTAACCAGAGGCAGGAACATCTAATGTAAACCAGTCAAGATATTTACTTATAGATGATATGCTGGGCCTCAGCAGTGGCAGGTGTTCTTTTTTGTTGATCCTTCACCAGATCCACACCAACAAACAAACCAACACCTCTAAAATACAAAGAAGAGACATCCTGGTGAGACCAGCATTCCAGCAACCAACTGTCCCTGTTCTGTACCTAGCATGCCACCCCGGACTTATGCAAAAGAAACAAAATGCTACAGAAGTATATTTCATACATAGCCTAAAACAGCTGCAATTTCACTGCACTAAGGATATTCTCACTATCACTGGGGATGAGTCACTTCAGACTAGCAAAAAATTTACAGTAAATCCCCTCCTCTGGACAGAAAACTAGATGCAAGGAGGAAAGGTTATACAGCACAGTGTCCTCCCCAGAATGGTAGTTTTCAGTAGCCTAATGTGGCTAGCATCACAGAGTTATCATTGCTTATCATCACAGAGTTATCATTGTATCAAGAGAGAGGTGACCCCTGCATGTTGGCCACACTCCAAGGTCCCCTGCTGACTTTCCCCACTTGCAGAGGGCAGAGGGTGGCATGAAGGGAAAGGGCTTTCTCTGTGGTGGCCCCTGATTATGGAACAGCCTCTCACTGCAGCTCAGCTGGCACCAAATCTGTCCTCTTTTCAGCGCCAGGTTAAGATGGCCCCTAACGCCAAGGCTTTCATCTGGATAGCCAGGGGCTTGAAGGAATTACCCATTCCAAGTCTTTTCTAACTCTTTTAAACTTTTAATTTTTTCTGATTTTATATATTTTATCATACTCTGTTATCTGTCTTATGGATTGTTGTAAACTGTCCAGAGAGCTTTGGCTGTGGAAAGGTCTAGAAAATCACCCCCATTACCACCACCTCTATACAAAGATAACCTCTATGCAAAGGTGAGTTGATAAGGGAGGAAGTGTTCTTTCAGGTACCTGGTTCCTAAGCCAAATGAAGCTTTAAGGGTAAGCACCAGCAATTGGAACTGTTGCACTGCAACTGTTGCACTTGAAATGCACTGCAACCCATAAAGCGTTTCATTGCTGGCAAGGTATGTTGCCATTGCCTGGCAGCCCCACTGTGGAGTTTCCAACATGTTTCAAAGAGCCCCACATATAATGCATTGGACAATGTTAGATGATAGCTACCACACCTCTGACATGTGTGTGGCTCTTCCCAGGTATTATTCTAGATAAGACTCTTACGTAAAAGCATGTGTACAGTGCTGGGCCTACCTGACATCTCCCACCAGTGGATGTTTTTCCTTCTGTTCTTTTAGTAGCCCAGTGAGGTAGTCTCCAACACATGTGGCATTCTGTTGAAGACCTTCTTTCTCTATTATATCCAAAACAGCCAATCCAATTGCACAGGATACTGGGTTACCACCAAACTGAAAGCAACAATGGGTGAAAAAACAGAGCTGTTACTTCAGTTTATATATATGCATCTTGAAAGTTTTGTGACTATGTGCAAGTCAGGGCTTGGTATTGGTTTAGGTGGCCAAGGGTCTTACTTTTCAGAGAACAATCCTTTGCTTGATGGACACCTGCACATACATCCCTTGAGCACTCAATACACAAACACACCTTACTGGCTTGGATGATACCCCTCCCTGGATGCATAATAGGGAGCAAATGTGCACCTGTGCTATCTCGAGTATCCCCAAATATCACCATGGAAGCATAATACACACCTATATGCATAAAATCAAAAGTGGGGAGCCCCAGAGTCCATTCAGTGGTTCACGACGTCTACTTGATGAATGGAAAAGGAAGATGTGCTTTTACTTTCTACTCTCCATAGGTTAGACCAGGGTCAGTTGGCCAAGCCTGCTGGATGTGTGAACAATCTCCAGTGAAAAACCATGCTATTAGGTAACAGGGAAATTATTGATGGTGATCTGTGATGGGCAATTATGCATGCAATTCATAATGAGGCATGTGTGATCAACAGTGTGGTGTAGTGGTTAAGACCGTGGGACTGGGACTCAGACGATGTGGGTTCGAGTCCCCGCTCAGCCATGGAGCCAACTGGGTGACTCTGGGCCAGTCACAGACTCTCAGCCCAACCTACCTCACAGGGTTGTTGTTGTGGGGATAAGATGGAGGAGGAGATGTAAGCTGCCTTGAGCCCTTTGTAGGAAAAAGGTAGGATATAAATCGAAAAAAAAAAAAAAAACCACCATGAGACCAATTACTCAGTCATAATATTAGAAGGGACACTCACAGTGTTGAAATACTCCAGTCCAGAGGCACCAAAGGCTTCAGCAATCTCTCTTGTTGTAACTACACAAGACATTGGATGACCATTGCCAATTGGCTTTCCCATAGTGACAATGTCAGGCACAAAGTCTTCACCTTGTAGCTGGAATCCCCAGAAATATTTCCCAACTCGACCAAAACCAACCTGGACTTCATCCGCTATGAAAACACCACCTGCTTTGTGGACATATCTGCAAATAAAAGAGGAACAGTCCAGATACCTCACCATCTTCGAAGACCCCAAAGAGCTGGATTATGCTTAAGTACAATTCCCTGCTTTCCAAAACATAAACCATCATTTGAAGGCTTCAAACATGGTCCCACAAGGGCTTTTTTATCAGGCTGTGTGTCCTTTATTGGATGAAGATTCAGATGATCTGAGTTTACTCTATCAGGCTGCAGAAGGATCTACTTGGACTTCAGACACTGGATGAGATTCAACGCATCCAGCACACAGTAACACACAATATGTGGCCATCTCCCGATGTTTTGGCCTGCGGCTCCCTGCATTTGCTGTGAGGTTAAAGCTGCTGGGAGGGCCACAAGTTGCTCAGTGCTGACATTCAGCAATCAAATGGGCTTTTGAAAGTATTCTTAATGCATTATAAGCCTATTTTATTGACCTATTATTATTATTATTCATTACTTTAAGCAGAGAATGGGACTATTAAAAATAAACAAATGCTCATGAAAATTATACCCTCATACAACATTGTTTTAGAGAATACAGATGGAGATCCCAGTGTTAAATGTTCCCCATCTAAGACACTTTTTCTATATTATTTATTAATTAAATGTTTAGCCTGCCACACATCTCCCTGAGTGAGTTATATAATGCTAATATGCTTGTGAAAAAATTCTAATGTGCCCTTCTTGACAACCTGCTCCTTTGCTACATACAGGCCTTTAAAAACTAAAAACAAAGCAAAACAAAAGAGGGGGAGATTCAAAATGCCATTTTGCCATCTCCATTCTCAAATAGTACAGGGTAGGAAAGCTGTACTATGTGAATTTCCCTGAATGTGTCCATCAATTCAAACCTGCAATAAGGAGGCATTCCATTCTTTGCATATTCAGATCTCTTTAGATAACTCAGCTCCATATGTGCATATATGAAATTTGATTCGGACAAATTTGACTCTCCAGCATGCTAACACTGCTGGACAAAGGCTATTCTTTTTTCACTTGCAAAGGAAGTACGTCTTCATTCAGTGTGCAGCTGAGCTATGGAAATTGTATGCCTCTGAATACTAGTTTCTGGGGAATATCAATGCAAGGCAGCTATTGCACTCATCCTTCTTGTGGGCTCTTCAGAGGCAACTGGTTGACCACTGTGGAAACAGAGTGCTGAACTAGACAAACATTTGGTCTAATTGAGCAGCGCTTGTCTTATTTATTTACAAAGGAATTTAAAAAGTCATCAAAGCCATTTACTGTCTGAAAGTTACAAACAGATATTTCCAGATAAGTAGAATGGACCACTACCTAGGCATCATTAACTAATTCTGCTTTATTAAGTAACATGCTATAATTAACCCATTCCAAGCACTATACATACTCTGCCACTTTCTGGAAATAGCCTGCAGGCGGAATTACTTGGCCTCCGCAACTCTGCATGGATTCAGCAATAAAGGCAGCAATCTAAGCAAGAGAAGATGTTGTAAGAAGAACATTCTTTTGCCTACTCTTTTTGCAAGTGAGCCAACAGTTAGAGGCATGAACCCTACAAAAACAGGCAAGATAATGAACAAATGGCATGGGCAGCTATACTGCATCTTCAGCAGCTACAAGAAACAATGACAACACAGTCCCAGGGGTGCCCAATTTTTCAATGTCAGAGCAAGCATCCAGTCAAATTCTTCTTGATATGAAGGCCAATTGTGGACTTCAGGTACCAAAAGTGTTTAATTTGGCCTTCAAAGCAGACACATATATTTAATTATCTACTTCAGCCAGGGTGCACTTACAGAATACAAAAGAAAAATACTGATGGATGATTCTGTTCAAGGAAGACATCTCAACCTTTTAGCTGGGATGTAAACATTGCACAAAAGCTGTGAAACTACTAAACCACAGAAGACTGGGGGAAAGGAACGTGAGCAGGGAAAGCATTGTGGCTTCCTGCAAAACCCTGGGCAGCTGAATTGAGATCATTAGGGAGCCAAATTTGGCTGCTTGAGCTGAAGTTCTGCATCCCTGTTATAGTGGCATCACTCTGTATGACATTCCTCACGCTATTTAAAATCTAGGTAAACCACTAAAAGGGGTCACTGCCATCAGTATGCTAATGGCATGGTTCCATTTCTTTCTCTTTTGTCCATCAGGTAAGGCTGTGGATGCACTAAATCAGCACTTGTCTGAATAAGGGTTAACAAACTGAAGTTCAGGCCAGATGAAACTGAAATGCTGTTAGTGGGAGATTTCTCAGACCAGATGGAGGGTGTTGGACCTGTTCTGGATGGAGCAGGTTCATTGCTTGGGGTCTCCTGGAACCCCCTTTGCCAGTTTAGACTAAAATGGCCTCAGTGGCACAGGATGCCTTCTCCTGGCTTTGTCTGGAGACCCAGCTATGCCCCTGTCAAGAACAGGCTAGTCTGGTATCAGTTTTCCATGCTCTGGTATTGTAAGTTAGATTACTGCTGTGCATTCTGCATAGGGCGGCCATTGAGAACTATTCAGAAGCTGCAGCTTGCTCAACATGTGACAGCCAGATTAATGGCAAGGACCCTGTGAACCAAGCACAAGAGGCATTAGCTGTCTGTGGGCTTCTAAGCCTGATTCTATCCTATAAAGCCTTACATGGCTCAAGACTGCAGTACTTGATGGAACACCTCCTTTGGCTGAATATATCTGGACCCAAGGACTAACATGGGGGACCTTTCTCAGTGCCATCTCTGAGCAAGGCCTGCAGGGCAGCAACAGGGTTGGGGAGAGTCTTCTTAGTAGAGATGCCCCAAGTGGACTGAGGCCACCTGGCACCATCCCAGTAGCCATTTTGGTACCAGCTCAGGCCTTTCCTATTCAGTAAGGTGTGGTACTTAATGGCATATGGGAAGGCTCTGACATATGCCCGCCCGCCCCTTGAGATCAGCAACAGAGGCCCTTCTCCGGGAACCCTCCGGGAATATTAGGAGGGTGAGTACCCGGAGGAGGGCCTTCTCTGTGGTGGCGCCCCACCTATGGAATGCGCTCCCCAGAGAGGTCTGCCTGGCACTGTCGTTATTTGTTTTTCGGTGCCAGGCTAAGACCTTTTTATTTAAAACTTATTTTAAGTGTTAATTTATTATGTAGGATTTTAAAAAAAATTTAAGCCGAGATGCACCGGGTTTTAATATTTTTAGTGTATAAATTTTTGTATGATTTTGTTTGTTTTGTTTTGTTTTGTTGTGAGCCACCCCAAGGCTTTGTTGCGATGGGGGCGGCATAGAAATGTTTTAAATAAATAAATAAATTAGCCTAGTTGCTCTGGAAAAATGTCTTAACAACTGATTTAAGAATGTATTTTGATAACTTCATGCTGTTTTTATTGTACTATGGTTTCTGTGGTTTTATGAATTGTTGTGAACCACCTAAAGACTTTTGGCTACTGGGTGGTATAGAAACAGAAATATTAACAACAAGCTGCTGTAGTTAATGTTATCCTCTTTCTCTGGCTAAGAAGTCTCAATAAACAAAAGGCCTGAATTTTAGAGATGTGCAGAAATATACTTTGGGCACCCCTGCTTTAGGAAACAACTTATGTAGAGAAGACATCAAGGTGAGGAACTTGACAAAAGAAAAGAGTCTAAGGCTGAAGTAATTCCAGCTGCTAGGAATAAAAATAAAAAAGATTATTTTGAATCATGATCAGCAGTTCAGATAAGACTGGAACATGAAGCTTACATTTGCAGTATTATGCCTTTGCTCTCCCCCAAGTGTGGCTGCAGGGCCAGCCCAAATCTGCTCTTAAGTGGCAGCCTCCCACACTCCCTCCCTGAGCATCAGTGGGGTCTTCGTAAGCTGCCCATCCAGTCTTCCTGGAAAGAAGGTCAAGCGATAACGTGTAAAGAAGCATACACTATATTTGAAGAGGGTACACTACAGCCAGGCAGTAGAAGGTTCCCCAATAGTCTGTGAAACTTTACCAACTTGTCCTGGCACAGGTCTACGGCACCAAAACCTATAAAGATATGCGAGAGGGGGGAGAAAACAGAAAAAGGGGGAGAAAATAGAAACTATCCGTTAGTTTCTTTCTTTTTTTTAAACTCAATAAGGAATTAAAGACAGGTGGTAGAGTCCTTAGGACTTTAAGTTGGCAGTGATGGCTGTGGGGAAACAGGCAAAAAATAATGGTTCTGAAGTCATGAACATCCATGAGAGCTGTATGTCTTTTAAATAAGGAAATGTAAATATATTTATATCTCTAAATTATTTCTTCCATTGGGATACTATGCTTTTTAATCTTCATTTGTTCTTCAATTTTGCCTATTTTATAGTATATATCAGCTCTTCCTGATAGCTCCAATAATTAATAGCACCATCGTTATGTGCAGAGGTCCAAAACTTCTCTATTTTGATCAGCCTTATGATTGTAATTCCCTTCTTGGATTGAAAAAAACCATCTAAAATGAGGAGTATCTCTTCATAACTCATATCTCCTTTCCTATTCATATAAACTTTCAATTTTTTTCTTTTCACTAACTTTCATATCCTTACCATGCACAATTTGCAATTTTTATGCTTTACACTGTATGTATCAACTTGTTACCTTTTAGAGACTGAAGACAAAAATTTTCTAATTATTTAACTTCAAAGAAGCACAGGAAAATCAATAATGAAAGCCACATATTACACCGCAATTTAAGCTCAATCATTGGGTCCAAGTGCAACATTTTTATTCACTGAACCATAATGGCTTTCTGTAAGATTACATTCTGTTACACAGGTACCAAGAGAAATTCTGAAACTGGACTCTCAATCTGTTCTGCTTACAGTATTTAATAGCTTGTAGACCAGCCTTCTCCAAAGCTGGTACCCTCCACATGTCTTGGACTGCAACTCCCAGCATGCCTTCCGGCTTGCGGAAGGCTGTTTTAGTCTTTCAGACCACATGCACAGGGAATCTCTTTGGTGTAGAGGGAGTACATTTTTCAGCATGGATACTCCTGCTAACTCCTGTACATTACACAAACCTCACAGTCACGTTGGGGTACCTCCCTATGCGTCACTGAAAAAGAGGCAATGCATTCCCCAAAAAAGAAAATCAAAGACAACCAAGTTTGGATACAACTTGCATACACTAATTCATATGTGAAGATGCAAATCTAGAGCTACAGATCACCATTGTTAGATTGTTAAAATTTGAATAGGAGTACAATGCATCTCCACATAGTGGGAACGACTGTGAGCTGGCATGCCTCCCTCCGGTGTTTGCTCTCCCAGTGCTAACAGCTGGTGGGCAACTGCAAGGCCCCTGTGGCACTCGCTCCTTATAATGCTTTATCGTTAAACAGGATCTAAATTGGAAAGCCTTCAGATAAAAGAATGTCTTTCGTAAACTAGGATTTATAGCAGCTATGATTGCTACCTCATACATCCCCCATGGAGTTCAATAAGATGTTGATGTGTTGATGAAGAACAGAATCAAAACAGATTTTGATTATTTATTCCTGATATCATATAGGAAGTGGAGGATTAGATTTATTTATAACTCCTTTAAGTGCCATTTTTGGTGGAAGGGTAGGGTATAAAACAGATAAATAAGGAATAAATATATGTTTTCTTCTTTACTTGGATCCTCCATACATATCATTTGCATTATTGCCTGTGATAGGTAAGCATGTGCAGGGAAGGGACGAAGGAAACACCTTAAAATCCAGGAATCTGATAAAAATGAAAGAAATTTCAATTGTCTAAGAGAGTCAATTCACCAAATCAGCAGAAGCATTTTTCGGGGGTGTGGGGGATCTAAACAGACTTTTGTTTCTCCTTCTCTTTCTCATATTTGCATACCTTGCGACCATTCTTCTGAGCCTCTTCAATTATCTTTGCCACATCATCAGCATAGGCACATCCTGGATCTGGATGGTCTTCCTTGTATTTTCCTCTGTAGGTATCTGGAGAAGGAGCCTAAAAAGGAACACAAAAGTATTTAGAAACTCTGTCATTTTAATTGCATCGCTTGGGGCTATCATTCTCAATTTTAATGTCTTTAAAAACCACTGGCTATCTTTTAATTTTATTTTTTTTTTACAATGTATAGTGATAAATTATGTATCTGAGGTATGGCAAGGGTCTGTACTTCTACTAATTTATTGGGTTGGTTCCAGATTTAGTCATGGTTTGAGGAGAGTCAGTGATTTCAATAGGTCCCCTGTAGGCATCATAAGTGTGAAGCCAACCCACTGCAGAAGTTTAGAACTATAATGCAGGCATGAAAGACAAAGAACCAAGAGCTTGTCTAGTTCAAGATCTGTCCTCAGCTCTGCCCAATTAGATGCTCTGGAAAGCTCAGAAGCAAGACATGGCAGACAGACCAATCCTCTGTTGTATTTATTTCCAGACTCTCAAAATCAGAAGCATCATGCCTCCCTCTATGGTATGGCTATTCTGTTGTTGATCATCATAATTACCAACTGACCTACTTAGTCATTGATAGACTAATTAATTCTTCATGACTAGATTAAGGGTCATTTCTTCAGAGATGCTTTATCATGGGATACAGATACTGCAATATATATAAAAAATGCATGCTTATTCCATCAGCCTGAAGACTATAGGCATTTATTTATTTTATTTTATTTATTAAAAGCTTTTCTACCCCATCCCACACTTGTGTCTTGGGATACAGGCATGCATCAATAACAGATGTCAACAAGCATGCATTACACAAGGGTGATTGCTCTGCATAAATTTTGTACATTCTAGAACATCATCGTCAACAACAAATTGATATCCATGTACAACTCATCTTTCAAGAAGTAGCCCTGTGCTTGACCTCATGATGGATCTGTTAAATGTTTAGAACACTTGGCACAGCAGCTTTGGGACCACTTTGCGCAATTCAGGGTGTTATCATATCCTGAAAAAAAGATCTACAACTTCAGCATGCGCTAGCCAGGTTGACTTTCTATGGCATGCCAGGAGTTGTAGACCTTTCTTTGGTTTGAACATGCATAGAAGTGTGCCATATCTGAGAAAAAAATGGTAGCTGAAAAACATATTTTCAACATACGTCTGTACCCATTTTTTTACCTAAAAAAGGAGGAAAAATGTTGACACCATTCAGACAACTACTGTAGGATGTCAGTTCAGTTTAGTATAGCAGAGACTCCAGGCTGGCCATGAAATCATGACTGCGAAGCATTTGGACCAACTTGGAAGAGGCAGATATCAAGAGCTGTCACTCAGCTCATTGTATTGGTGGAAGCATGTAGCATAAATGGATTCCAAGCACAGCATCTTTATTTCTGCCCTAAGCAGGGCCACCTTGATTTTTTCTGAACAAGGTCAGATGTAGAAAGCACACTGAACACTCCCTATGCAAGCCTACATAGTGTTGTAAGCCGCCCCGAGGCTTCGGCGAATGGGGCGGCATAAAAATGTTTTAATAAATAAAAAAAATAAATAAAAATACATAGATGTAGGCCCTATTGTGTTCTGTGTGGCTTAATCCCATGTAAGTGCATATGTCCGTGGTGGGTAACTTGTGCTTCTCCAGGTGTTTTCACCTATAACTCTATTGCTAGCACAGCCAGTGGTGAGGGTTAACGGAAGTTGTGTGATCTTCCAGATGTTGTGGGCTGCAACTTCCAGTTTCCCATTGGTTATGTTGGCTTGGACTGATGGAAATTAAAGACCAAAAGATCTGGAAGGTCACACTTTGCCCAACTCTTATGCACAGCATTACAGCCTAAAAGCATTTATTTGGATCAAAAATGCTAACTAAAAATCCAAAAATAATACAATACTCACCACATGTACAAATTCTTTTTTGCCCTCTTTTCCCAGCTGATTAAATTTATATGGACTGATGTCAATCAAGGAGGTAACATGGCCATGATAAGCACTGAAATGAAAGACAAATAATATGAGACAGCTCAATTTAACTACAGCCTGATAGATGTGATGTTAGTATTAAAACTGTAGAAGCATCTGCTATATAATTAACAGAAACTATGACTGTGTTTTTCCTTCCTGACAAACAATTATTCAAATACAACTTCTCCCTCCATATTTCATATAATGTTCAAGTCAAAATAGTTTCATAATTAAAACAAGAAGGAAGAAGCCTTGGTAGAATTAATAAAATCCTCCAAGGCCTCTTCTTTTTCATTTGAATTGTAGGCTGGGGAACACTGGCTATCCTAGCTGGGGCTAATGGGCACTGTAGTCCAACCAAGTCTGAAGGACTACAGTTGGCCCAACAGTGCTATTGTGATAAATATATTTATTCCTGGTTGTAAATGCACATCACCTACATGTAAACATCAATTCCAATGCAGAAAGGAATGCAGGAACTCATCCATGACCTCAGCTGAAAAGGGGCATGTGGTGAACTTTCATGCATGCATCAAAACTCCCATGGAGGGGGCTCTGGGTGCCTCATATGAAACCACAAGGCTCTGTCTTAGCACATTATCTTATCTATTCCACACTGCTAGTAGCTGATTTCATCCACAAGTTCTACAGGCTTACTGGTCAAGAGTAATCACATCCTGGTGGCCACTGAACTGCCGAGCCAAGCGTAAAGCAAGATCATTTGCTTCTGACCTGGAGGAGAAAATTAGAAGGCAATGAAATCAGGTATTGTAACAGAATCTGTAACAAACTAACCTTTCAAACAAAAACAAAACAGAAAACAGCAGACAGACATCTAAAATGTATCTCTAGAAGCTATTAATATGACAGGAATGAGTCAGAGAGAATAGGATGCTATTCAATTTGAAGTGAAAAGTTGAACAAGAACACATTGCTTCACAAATACTTCACTCACACCTATAAAAATAGCAATCATTTAAAAACACTGTATGCATTCTGAGAATAAACTGATGTTCTGAATACCATAAAATCTAAAATTGGGTGCAAAGTATCAGATTGTTGGTAGCTCAGCTTTTGGTACACTGCCAACCTGGATCATTGCCATGGAAAATGTATAAAGGTAACATGGTTGTGGGCATGATCCAACGCCCCACTTCATGGGTGGGGCTTGCAATATTAGTGATTGAAATGATATGGCCCAATCATGCAAAGGAAACATGGTCCACTAGTAGAAGCAAGTGGAGGAGCCAGCCCCATATGCACACTGAAGCATTGTCTGCATTGAGAGATATAGCAATAGCCTGAAAGCACCCACAAGCCCACAGTTCCCCATTGCAAAATATTATTGCTTCCACATTGGTCACTGTGCAGGAAGACCCTTGCAAACATTTATGCAGATGAATTCCTTTGTTTTACCATCTGGTTGAAACTGATTCATATGTAGAAATATACTTTCATAGAGATTTCATTTGCAGAAACAGGACCATTACCTGCTAAAGGTGCCTAGGTGGAGTTTGTCATGCCATGGTAAGAGAGTGATAAGTAGAGTACCGATAATGACAAATTGTGGGAGAAGCCAGTGTAATCTAGTGCTTCAAGTGTTAGAAGAAGAGTAGGGAGGCCCAAGTTCAAACCCTCAGGCAGCTTTTACTGTAGGGCTTTGCCTAGCATGACTCTCAACCTATGAGTAGATGCCTCACAGGGCTGCTGTGATGATAATAAGGGAAAGGGTCATGTATCCCGTCTTGATCTCCTTGGAGAAGGGACATGATATAAACACAATCAATAAACATTGTCCTAGTTTGCCCATGTAATTTTTTTTTTCTTCATGAAAATGTTCATGTACATTTGGCTATTGGAAGACATGCAGAAACGAAATGAAATGAAACGAAATGAAATGGAAAAGACTCTTGAGAGTCCCTTGGACTGGAAAGAAATCAAATCAGTCAATCATAAAGGAAATCAATGCTGATTGCTTTTTAGAAGGTCAGATACTGAAGCTGAAGCTCAAATACTTTGTCCACCTAATGAGAAGGAAGGACTCATTGGAAAAGACCCTGATACTGGGAATGATTGAGGGCAAAAAGAGAAGGGGGAGGCAGAGGTTGAGGTGGCTGGATGGGGTCACTGGGGAGGTGGGTGTGGGGTTTGGTGGACTCTGAGGGATGGTGGAGGACAGGAGAACTGGGAGGAATGTTGTCAAGGGATCACAAAGAGTTGGGCATGCCTCTGTGACTGAACAACAATCTTAGAAAGCCCAGATTTGTTAAAGCAAGAATTGGACGTATAAATATAAGACAAAAATGACAGCAACAAAAAGTCCTTCAGACACACCCAGAGTTCACAAAGTAGCACACAGAGAGCTGTTCTGGAAGGGTAGCGGTGAGGCGCTTTGCATATTGGACCAGATTGTCATGGAGGAATCGGGAGTTGGTGTTGAGCAATTCCATCTGTTTCACTGCAGCCTTGATCACATCTGGATGGCTGTGTCCAACTACAGAGGATCAAATAAAGGAGAGTTGTTTAGCCAATACAGACAATCTGCAAATACACCCTAATCCCAGTCCTAAAACAGTCTTTGGCATCACTTGGATTATTATACTCCCAATATAATTTCTTCGTGATGGTTTGCTATAGATTTCCAGAGGCAAAATCAGTGATTTATTTATTTATTTTGCTGTTAGCACCCTATGAATTTATTCAGGAACTCTTTGAAGTGTGACTCACAGGGACAAAAATAACCCCCAGAACTCACCTACTGCCCCCTTAAAATGAAGGGGAACTTTCACAGCATTTTCATTCACATATTAAACTAGAATCTCTTACCATGCGCTACATTATTAATGCAGTCCAAGTATTTTTCTCCATTCTCATCAAACATATACTGGCCACGAGCCTGCATTATCTTAATAGGGTCCTTAGCAAAGAAAACCTTGCATGAAGGCCTGAAAAATATAAGAAAAAATTCTTTTAGTTCAGGTTGACTGAACAGTTGTTCTCAAGCCTTTATCAATATATGTGCGAACACATTACTGCCCATCAGGAGTTACAGAATCATACAGTTGGAAGAGGCCTAGAAGGCCATCAGGTCCAATCTCCAGCTCAGTGCAGGACTCGTGTCTCTCATCTACGTTCTAACCAGGCCTGACCCTGCTTAGCTTCCAAGATTAGGCATGATCAAGCACTGCGGGCTATACAGAAGCAAAACTGGTTAGGTGCCTCAGCTGAGGACTTCTACAAGTGTGCAAACTTGGGGATGATGGGAGTTGAAATCCAGCACTTCTGGAGGCTATTTTCTAGTTAGACTGGAGTCAATGAAAGCAATAAAATTCAAATGAGACAATTCACATCTTTGGCTATGAGTCACTAGGTGGGTTCGGATGTCCATTGTGGGGTAGAGGGAAGATGGTTTCTTTTCCCTACCCCCTGCGTGCTATTTTTTGCACACTGTGCAGTTTCATAATCGCTCTTGGGTCATGAAGCTTTCCATGTTGTCCATACCTAGTAAGGCACCCAGTGAGGGTAACTTCAGAACTACTCGGAAACCTATGGCTTGTTCTAGGATCCAGGGAAGGTTTCATACTGCAAACTGTGCAGCACGTGATACGCTTGTGCTGGGCCGGGAAGCCGCCGTGGTTTCTTTTCTGGCTGATCATCTGTTCCCAGTCACTGAGGGATAAATCATTAAGTTCTACTCTGTCTTGTTACCCAACTTCTTCCTTTGGCATTCTAATGTGAAATGCAGGAACTATCCAAGAAAAAAAGTAGGTATGCTTTGCACACTATACCCAGATCTAGATCTTAATCCAATCCATTGCTCAGCTCTATCCCCCTTGCTATCAGAGGCTTAGGATTTATCAAGCAAGATTAAATTATTTTAGGTGAGTCGAGAACTCTCTTCCCTTTCTTCTGAACAATCGCATCAGCAAAAATTGTGAATGTGTTAAACCGGAAACAATTTTCTAATAACATCACATCAAGCACTTTACTAAAAGAGGACTCAATCCACCCCTGCCCTACACACTTCAGTAAGTGTGATTCTTACTGATTCTTCAGTAATTCTTACTGATTCTTCAGGAAGAAACATCTTCTAGGAGCAGATGATTACTCCTATAAGAAAGTTCTCTGCACAGCTGAAATATTAATGGACTGTGGAGAGCAAAGAACAGCAGCAGAGGGAGTGGTGGGGGAGGCAAAGCAACACAGCCTGTTCTGCCCCCCCCCCCGCCCCCATGCTGGCCTGCTGGCCTAGGACATGATGGAGGATGCTGTCTCACCCACAATGCTGTTTGGCTTGTACAGGAAAGTGAATGTAGCCAGCCTGGGGTGAGGAGGGGACAACTCACAGGCACCAAGCTGTGTGAATAAGAGACAGGGGAGGAGAAAGCAACACAGGCTGGTTTTGTAACTGAGATTTTAAGGGAAGACATTTGTACTGATTTTACAAAAGAGTCTAAAGTTCTGACCGTGTGGGTTTTCAACTGGTTCCCCACATTACTCTGAAATATGCCTGCCATCAGAGCCAAATCATTGGTTACATTAATGCTGCAATAACCAAGGAGAGTCAGCAACTGTCACAGTTTGTACAGAACTTTTCTCAGCTTTGAGAGGCAGAAGCACAGACTTGGTTTTACATAACACTGGTGCGCATGGGTTATGCAAGGGCAAGAAGATACTGCCAGAGACGAACATTAGCCGACCTAAGGCCACTCACAGGACATTCCTATCTCTGCGTCTACTACACTTGTCAAAGTTCTCTCTGGAAGGTCAAGCACAGATCCACCTTCCTAGCTGTTAATCTAACTATTTATACAGGGGCTAGGTAAGGTCACAGAAGGCCTATGCACAAAGGCAAAGGGAGGATTTTATAGCTGCCAGATGGCTCCTTACACTCAGACAGATGCCTTACCCTGGAGTAGCACCTCCCAGAGAAGAGAATTAGCATCATGGTAACTTAGTGGGGCTTCCACAGATGGCATAATGAACGGGGAGGAACACAATTTTAAATGCTATTGCAGGTTTGAATGGCTTGTTTCTAAGCAATCTTGAACATGTCTTTAGAAATGTATTTTTAGAAAGCTTCCCCCCCTTGAATTAAAATAAGCCTCTTTAGAAAGTACTAATGAAAATTAAAGCAAAAATGCACAGGGGTATGTTAAATAAAGCGGAGCTCTGATCCTTTGAAAATTTATGTACGAATAAGCATTTTGTTCAGAGTTAAACAAAATTCCTCCAGAAGACCCGCTGAAGTGAGTAGACCCTCAGATGATCTCAGGCTGCACACCCTGTTGTTTTCAGAAGGAAAGGTAGAAGAAGATTCACAACATACTTTTAGATATTTTAAATCACCAAACTTTGGATCATATCCTAGATTTTGTTTGAAAGGATGACAATATGCGATTTTTAAATATGAAAAGAGCATATCCGTGTTAGTTGAAAGGTACAAAACTGGAGCTTTTTGGAAAATGTCATTTCAGTGTCGTGAAATATCAAGGAAAGTACAATGTTGAAGTTATCTTTTCAGACAGATGCGACAAAAGGCGAGCAAACCCTCCCCGGAGGACTTTGCGTTCCTTAACTAAGATTCTCACAGCCACACGTGCGCAGTCCTTGTTTCGGAAAGCCAGATCCAATTTCTAAAAGGAGTAGGGGAGGCGGAGAAAGAGAGGAAGGCGCGTGGGTGCCCCGGTTTGGTCTCCCGCGAATGGACTGGGGCCCCCCGCACCGCACCTCCAGCCAAGGAGTCCGCACGCTCTGCCTTCTGCAACCCTCTAATCCTCTCCAGAGAGCGGCCCGATCCTGGGCGACTGGGCAAGCACCGGCCCGGTTTAGAGGGCGATGGCTTGGAGTCGTGATGTCCCAGACGGCCACCACGAGGACGCGGCGCCCCGTAGGGGCGGGCAAGGTCTTTGCTCCAGGTGGAACCCGCCTTTCCGTGGGGGAAGAAGGGCCACTGAGGGGTGCGTGTGGCAGACAGCGGCGCTGCGGGGACTAATCCCGGGCGCAAGAGGGGCCTCGATCCCCCCTGGCTTCCCCCGGCTAAGCCTGTCCAGATCCGTCGCCTCGCCCCTCTCTCCTCTTGGGCTCACCCGATGTGCTTCTTCCGCAGCTCCAGGGTCTCTGCCTTGCTGTACAGCGCCATCCCGCCGGCTCTAGGGCGCGTTCCCTCCCTACGCACGCCTGCACCTGGATCTCGCACTGCGCTGGTCTTGGAGAAAAGACCTCCGTTTTATAACCTGCCGCCTGCACGCCAAGCCCCACCTCCGGCCCCGGCAAACAGGCCCCTTTGTCCTCGATCCTCCCCCTCCAGCGCCGTCCCGCCTCCGAGAACTGTCCGCGCTCAGGACGGTCTCTTCCCGGGCCTCGCTGCTGGGTGCGCGACGGAGCCGCTCTCCGCTTCTCTGTTCGTTAAATCGGGAATAGGTAGCACCCCACGCGTTACCACTGATCTCTGCAGCAAGCCTGAAGGGGAAGGCCAGTTCATCCGTTGCAGGTGTCAGAATCCCGGAACCTCAATTTGAGAAGAGGAAATAAAACTCAGGTTCGTGGGAAAGATCAAGCGTCCAGACCATCTGAGGCTTTATTGTATTACCCCAAGGTTCCCGCGGTACTCACGATAATACATGCATTACCGGGCAGGCAGAGGTGAACTCTGCTGCAAAGCTTCAATACCATTGCAGTGTATTTTATAGGTACAGGACATTTGATGACAGAATGCAGACATTACAGTAAGATTCTGAGGTCATCACATACAGAACAGATAAAGGAATGTCAGTCAATCATACAGAGACGATGAGATTACAATATTTCTAATTGCAGCGTATTGACATTTAGTTCAGTAGCTTGAACCCATCTCCAGGTCTGCTTAGATATATAAATTCAAGCTACTGAGAAACTATTCATGATAAGCTCAAACTCTTAACTAGACTCTAGACATTCTGAGTGACCTGGGCATATGAAGCCCTGGGCTAGGAAGATACTTCCTTGTAAAACTGAATTCCAACAATGATTATTTAATCATTGTGAAGGCATACAATGTAAATTTGGACTAAATGGCCTGTGTACTGTAGTTTGCAGCTAAAGGTGAGAGAAAGGAGCGGGGGAGGAAGGCCATTTGAAACAGTGACTTAGCTTGGTTTGAGAAGTACAGGATTTGATCCCACAATGCAAAAAGCACACAGAAGTAATGTTTTTGTGACAGGATTTATCCAAATTTTCCCAACACAGGAAAAGCAACAACATCCTGACACTGTTAAATCCTTAAGGCACTACAAGACTTGAAATCTGCCATATTCAAGGGGTATTATTCAGATGCAGATTTAACACCATCCTGCTGAGCAGAGCCTGGGAGGAGCAAGATTATTAAGGAAAGCAACTGCCTCTCTTAAGATGCCACAACCAATGGGTTGCACTTTCACTGGGCTTTTCCTTCTTAGTTGGCTCAGTGTTTGATTTGTGCCTACAAAGTAATGAGGCAGACCTGTGTCTCACCTTCCTAGGGCTCTTGGTGTGCCTTTAATAGAACTTCTATATTGGAGAGACCCTCACAATGCATCTAGTCCAACCTCTTGCTGATGCAGGAAACCTGCAGTATTAGTATCCCTGATAGGGGGTTCCTAACCTGTTTTCCAGATGGGAAAGAGGGAGGGTGAGAGAGCCCAAGGTTTGCTGCTGCTGCTGCTGCTGCTGCTTTATCTTTTTCCTGTAAAAGTCAGAAATTCTCAGAGATCTAATAGCTGAAGCTCTGGGCAGTGAAAAATTAAGAAATACAATGAAATATAAATTTAAAAATAGAACAGTAAAATTACATTCAAATATTTTAAAATAAACAAGCAAACCCAGGCCGTACCACTAGGCCTGCTAGAGGAGAGGAGAGGAGAGGAGAGGAGAGGAGAGGAGAGGAGAGAGCAGCTGGCAAATTCCCACACTCCCACGTGCTGCTTGGAGTTTGTGAAATACTCAGCAACAAGGGTGGTTTGGACCTGCACCTGAAAAGACTGCAAAGTTGGTGCTAGGGAGGCCTCAGCAGGAAGCGCTTCCATATTTTGGGGGCTACCACAAAGAGGGCTCTCCTCTTTGTTGTCATGAACTGAGACTCTCTTGGAGGTGGCATTCAAAGAAAGGCATCAGTTGTATAGTGTGTCATGTCCAGGAATGTTGTTGGGAGACGCCTTCCATGAGGCATTGTTGCAGAAAAAAAATCTTGTGGTTATAGGTTAAAATCAGTACCTTGAATCAAATTAGGAAGCTTATGGGCCATGGGTCCTCAAACTACGGCCCGCGGGCTGTATCCGGCCCGCCATTCCCATTGATCTGGCCTGCCATAGCTCACCACACATGTGCGCAGCGAGGTGCTGGCTTGCTTGCAAGGAGATTGTTTCGGACTCGCTTGGAGAAAAGGATCTTTGCGCACGCATGCCCCTGCCTTTCTGTGCACACATGCGCACACTCCCCCTCCCCCGGCCCTGCCTGTGCCCCCTGCCTGCACTGGCTTGGCGGCTGGCACCTTTCAGCTGGCCCCCTATTCAGAAAGTTTGAGGACCCCTGTTATAGGCAATACGTGCAATTGACTAAAGCAGGTTTTATATGTTCACATTATCTGGTTCCAGTTATTAGTCTGTATTTGCATTTTGCATAAGCTGTAGCTTTCAAACTATCTTCAAGGGCAGCCCTATATAGAGAACATTGTAGTAATCTAGTTTAGAGATTGCCAGAATGTTGATTACTGAAGCCAGGCTATTCCTGTCCAAATATATGAGTAGCTGGGCCAGCGGCCAAAGCTGGTGACCCTTTGGCACTGAAGCCACCTACACCTCAAGTTACAAAAACAGATCAAGGAGCGCCTCCAATGAATGAGCAGCTTCTTCAAGTGGAGTGCAATTCTGTCTAGATCAGACCAAGGACCCTTCCATCTGGTCAGAGAAATTGCCCACCAACAGCATTTCAGCCTTGTCTGTAAGCAGCTTCAGTTTTTTAGCCCTCATCCAGTTCATTGTCATGGCCAAACACCAGTTTAGCGCATTCACAGTCTGAACTGCTGAAGATGAAAAAGGGAAATAGAGTTGCATGTCATAAGCATACTCCAAAACTCTGGATAACAATAAACTTGGTGTTTCATGTAGATGTTTGATAGCATGGGGACAGAACTGACCACACTGAAAAGTCCAGGGGACTAAGCCATATCCTCTAAGCAGCCCCTCTGGGAGCCAACCATCCAAGTAGGAGTAGAACCATTGCAATGCAGTACCCCCATAAACGCACTTCCAGCTTAGAAAGTCATCCCAGAAACATACTAATTTCAGTGGTACTGAAGCCTGCTGAAAGATCCAGGGATATCAACAGGATTTCATTTCCCTTGCCTCTCTTCTAGTATAGGTCATCATATGGGGTGACCAAACCTGTTTCTGCACCAGCACCCAGCCTGAGCCCTGACTGAAAGGTGCCCAGATAATCAGTATCATCCAAGAGTGCCTGGAGTATGCCCATCAGCGAAAATTATTTGGGTGTTCCAGATCCTGTGAGGGTTTCTACTGGAATAGCTTCCCTACCACCTCTTTAAGGCAGGATGGAGCACTGCATCTTGTAAAGAAGGATGGCTCACCCTCCTTATTCCCTCCCTGCTAGCTTTTATAAGCCAGGAGGGACAAAGATCCAGTACAAACATGTTTGCATGAACCTGTCCAAGCTGCTTCTCAACATCCTTGAGCTGAGCAAACAGAAACTCATCTAGGAAAACTGGACAAGATGTGCTTTGGCAACCTTACCAGATACAGCTGCTAGAAAAATTGGAGTCAAAGCCCTGGCAGATAAGAGATTTTATCTTGGTGATGCTAGCAAATATATTACAGCAGGACTCATATACGTTTAAGATGTCCTTGAGACCAGCATACCATTGTTGTTGTTGTTAGTCGCGAAGTCGTGTCCGACCCATTGTGACCCCATGGACAACATTCCTCCAGGCCTTCCTTTCCTCCACCATCTCCCGGAGTCCACTTAAGCTCACACCAACTGCTCACACCATCCAGCCACCTCATCCTCTGCTGTCCCCTTCTTCTTTTGCCATCTATTGTTCCCAACATCAGGGTCTTCTCCAGGGAGCCCTTCCTTCTCATTGGGTGGCCAAAGTATTTGAGTTTCATCTTCAGGATCTGGCCTTCTAAAGAGCAGTCAGGGTTGATCTCCACTAAGACTGACCGGTTTGATCACCTTGCAGTCCAAGGGACTCGCATGAGTCTTCTCCAGCACAATTCAAAGGCCTCAATTCTTCGGCGCTCAGCCTTCTTTATGGTCCAACTTTCACAGCCATACATTGCAACTGGGAAAACCATAGCCTTGACTATACGCACTTTTGTCGGCAGGGTGATGTCTCTGCTCTTTCTTGGCTGCAGTCCCTGTCTGCAGTGATCTTGGAGCCCAGGAAAATAAAATCTGTCACTAAAAAGCTTTGCTGGATGGCAAATAAAAAGCAGTGATACTGTTTTTTGCCACCCTCACTGCCCCTAAGTATCTCACCAACTCATCAAATTTATCATTTTGCTTTGTTTATCAAATTTAACATTTGTTCAAAAATTAGGAGACACAAAGGACCTGTTTTCTAATGGTGGCAAATTGTGGGTTAATTAAGCTACAGTTTGGTGAGTCATGTGCTTTTCATGAGCCTCTTCTGCTCTGCATAATCAGAGGCTCGTTTGGACAAGACTAATCAATTAAAAAAATATCAGGGACATATGTATGTGTGTTTGTGTCTGTATATGTATGTATGCATGTATAGATCTTTATAAACAAGCAACCCTCACCACCTGATTATCCATGTCAAAAATCCCATTTTAATAGCAACCTTGCATTTTGAAAGTTAACTGAAAGCCCAGTCCTCCCGTAAATGGGTGGTTTGCATTTTTCAATATTTGTGAGTACCTAGTGTCTTGAGAAAAGGTGAAAAGATGCAGAATACTGAGAAAAGTCAGGTCCAACCAAGTAAGTTAAGGATCTCACAACAAAGGGGGTGATCTGCTGGCCACCCCTCTTCATGATCAAAGATCACTTGTGGCTTTGTTTTCCCCTACAAAATAAAAAATAAATGTCTTTGAGACATCTCTTGGACAATGTCCATGGTGGATGCCTGTTGCCCTTTGACAGCAGATCTTGCCTGAGTGAGTCTGCCCATTTTGGATCCCT